TGATAATGGACCATGTTTCGGTGGTGGTTTTGGTTCAGGTGATCTTATCATGAGGAATAATTTTAACCAGGATGAACGATGTTATTGTCAACTTAATTCATACGAAAAAAAAATCCGAAATACTACTGATAAATTTTCAGTGAGTGAATATGAAATATTTCAAGTTAGTAAAAAATGGCGATGGCTATGAGTAAATTCCCTTTTCAATACCAATATACTTAAGTATTCTAAATAAAATTGATTTTATATATTACATATGGTTTATTATGAAAATGTATTATATTAATTTTAATTATTCTACTAACATCTCTAGCACACTAGTTTATTTTCAAAAATTTAAAATAATAAAATTACAATATAAAAAGTTATTCTATAAGCATTACTGTAAATTGTGTTATACATTGGCCCGCTGGTTTAAATTTGGTTCAATTTTTTTTTTGTTAAGTTCGAACGGCTTGAAAACAAAGCATTTGTCTATATAACAAATTATAATGTAAATTATCTAAATGACATTTGCATATGCGTACCTCTTCTAAAAGTGTTGGCAAACCATCTAACAACTCTAATTACACTCACATCATTGCTTTTAAACATAACATTGGTTTAGTACTAAGAGTTTCTTCATTTTTCTCATATCGTTTTTTATTTCAATGTTTCCCAGTACTTACCACAGCAAATTATATAGATTAGAATAAATATGTTAAAGCTGCATTTTAAAATTAGGAAATTTCTATTCGTATACTAGTCTATAAATACGGTACGTATAATAAAAATATTTTGCTTATGAAACCACACTTTGGATTCTAACAATAAAAAATCTCCGTGAAATTTTAATGTAAACTACACTTTAATACTAACTAACACTTGTCTACCTTAACTTTAATATAGTGTGGTTTTTTCTTTAAATTTTGCATTATTTCAATCTACAAATTATATACATGTTTCATACACTGGTGTAAATTAATAAATTTTCTTAAATTTAAACCTAGTAACGTACCTTTTCAGGGACATGTAGATTTGTGTGTACAGCATTATGTCGAAGTGTGTACGAATTTGGTTAAAAAATATATAATTGTTAATGAGTATGAATAGACAAAGCAATTTTGTAGTATGCTTAATTCAAATAGAATTTGAGCTTAGTAAATCGAACAATATAGCTTATGTCTCACTCCTATACGACAAGATGATAATTTGTTATGTTAATACAACAAATTTATTACTATATTAATATTACTAAAAAATTACAATTATACTATAATTAGTTGTAAATTAATTACTTTAATATAGTTATCTAACTTTATACAATTTTAATTTTTCAAGTTGACAAAGATTAATGGGTTAAAAATATAGCAAAGATTGAATATTTTAGAAAGATTAACTTTATTGTATAAACCAGAAAATTACTTAAAATTAGTACCAATAGCAAATTTCTTTATAATAATTATAAATGGTAATTTTTAATTTTGTTTGAACATTACTCACTATATAATTCTATTAGTATAATGTTTTATTATTTACAAGTATTTATATTGTTGAAATGAGTAAACCACAAAACTACTAAATAAATAATTTATTAATTTATTTATATAAAAAAATATGGGTAAATTTATAATTTATCCAGGGTGAGATTTGATATTTCTTACTTATATACAAATTTATTATAAATATTTCATGTAATAACATGTAAGCTAACATATATACATAATTTTAACTAAATATAGTATAACAATTATAATGGTGATATGATTTCATTTATTTTGAAAAATTTTTCAAAATCTGTGCAAAACAAAGATTTCATTAAACAATTTAACTATATTGTATACTCTGCTAGCCCTACTACAAAATGCTAACCTTAACATTACTGAACTTTAAGAATTTTGTAATTATTTATGATTGAATTTTTTGTTGGTAAATACTAAGACTGTAATTGTTCAACAATTCAATGATTAATCAATTGTTATCAATTATAAAAGCTATGTAGCTAGTTAATAGGAAACATGGACTTTTCTGTTTATTAATAAAAAAATCATTTATATTTATAATAGAAAATCATTTATTTTAGTAGATAATTATTGTGTAATTTTAATAACCTTGTACTAGTTAAAATATTTTATTGATCAATTCTGACTTCTAATGACCACTAAGAAGAATGTTAATACCTGAATTGTAACTCAAAACCAAATAAAATTCAAAGCACAAATTAATCAAGTTGCATATATGTACATGCATATATATATTAGTTAAAATTAAATATAAATACTTATCTTTTCAATTCATGTTAATAAATAGGTATGTTATCTAATCTTAAGCATTAATAATGTCTAAATAGATTTGTGTAGTATAGTGTGCTATAAAAGCAAATAGCTAATAAAAAGGTACTGAAAGCATTCTATTTCTATCCAGTATTCTATAGAGTCACTATAAAAATAGAAAAAAGAAGACAAAAACAAAATTACCTAACAACATATGACTTTAAAATCTTTGCTTTTGTATTATACCTATAATTTGAACTAAATTATAATAATATTATTCTTTTTAACTTATTAATACTGAGCAAATGGTTTATAATTATTAATTAATATTCATTTTACACTTATCTTAATGAATTATACAAAAAACAAAAAAGATATAGTAAATTATTGAAACAAATTCAATACTAACTTGTCTACACTATTCTTATACTTTGTACGATTTTTTATAGTTCATAGGCTAATCTACCTATAAATGATCTCTGCTTTGTACAGTATAGGCTATTCTTTATATAACTGCCTATATACATTAAATTACTGCTGCATTGCAGAATATATATTTTGATAATATCTATTTTTTTCATATAATCTACATTTATAACCTTTATTATTATTTGAAGTATTTGATACTTTTGATTTTGATTTATTTTTAGATTGTTCAATAGATGATTTTAGTTATTTTAATAATAGTCTTCTTTTTGATTAATGTTTTAGCAGGTCTAAAACCTGTTCAGGATCAATTAAATCCCTATTTGTATTGCAAATACTGGTAATGAGATTGTTGTGTATATAAGCTTGAATATATTAATTTTTTTTTCATTTATTAAATTCTTTTATAAATTACATTAATTCATTATCTTCATCCTGTAATGCATAATAAATTGCCTTTTTTGCTTTACCTATTAAAACACCATATTTTAATTGATTTTTTAATATTTTTTTATAACATTTTTATAAAAAAACAGTTATAGTATATTTTTGGGTGAATTCTAGAATAATTTGTATATCATTATTATTAGAACTATTTACTACCATTTTATGAAAATAGTCTTTATCTGAATCAAGATATTCATTCTTGTACTAATGGTTAAAAATCAACATTAAATAAAAGCATGTCTTGGATAATAGTGTAAAGATTTTAAAAAAATGTTTACATATAATTCTATGAGTAACAAGCATAAAGCATATACATAAATGTTCTCTATTATTAAGTAAAATTATATATAGATAGCACTTTTAGTAATTATATTAAGAAACTTTCCAAATTTCTAAAATCTTGTCATGATTAATTATTGAAATTAAAGATTGCAGGTTAAGTTCTTGATCCTCATCCACTTTAGAAAGAATTTCAAAATTATTAGTTTATTTTTTTTCAAAAAATGGTTCAAATGAATCATTATCAAAAATAAAAATTTTGACATTAGCACTTGATGTGCACAATAACATACAGATTGATACATTTGTTTATAATATGCATCACAAATTGGCTGAGTTAGGTACTTTTTAATTATATAATCGATACCAGTAAAAAATGTTTGTAAAATAAATAGTTGTGTATATTGAATTGTTAATGTTTTCCAAATTAAGTAACAATTATTAATTGACTCAAATTCAAGTAATTTTTTAAAGCTTCCTGAACTTCCAAGAAAGAATAACTTGATTATATAACCTTTTGAATTAATTTATTTTCTAATTTACACATTAAATAAATTGTGTTCTTGCTATAAAACATTGAGATATAAACCATTTTACTTACATATGTTTCTGATCTAACAACATTGTTATATATCTTTCTCCTGATTTATATTTTTCAAGTAACTCTTCAATTCTTCTCTCAAATACATCCTTACAATAAGAATGCTGAATGTTTTTTAAAATTTTTGAGAAAATCTTGATAAAGTGTGCCTAAGCATAATCGAAGATTTTTTTGGAATATTTTAATAAAGGTAATATAAACATTGCATATAGTGAGTTTTAGAAAATACAATAGAAATAGCAGCAACCATGACAGGATCTGTATCTATAATAAAAGTTAATGAGGAATTTTACAGGTTTCTAAACAATAATAAAGTAACCACTCATATGATTTCTGTCTTTCATCCTATATAAATGCTTGTGCTGCTAATCTACTCTTATTGTAATTGTTAATTAAAATAAAAAGACTTAACAGATAATTATACTTATTAGTTTGTGCAGTATTATTATGAATAATTATATCATAAAACTTGAACCATCTTTTATGTTGTTTTGATAACATCTAAAAAATACCAATTAACTGACTACTTATATTATTGATTAATGGTTTTACAAACCATCATGAATCATTAGCTTGGAATTTTAACAGTTTTGTTAATAAAGATGCTGTATAACCTAAGTTTATTTGATGTTCTATTTTTATTTTTTGAATAGCATTCCCAAGAACTTGAGTAAAAAAGATATGATCTGGATACTTGGGTTGAAGAAAATTCCTAATCATTATCGCATTACACTGATTATGTATAATATAATATTTGATTTGTTTTATAATTTTCTGAGAAAATCTTTTGTAAACTTTAGCAAAATTTGTAGTTTCAATATCAATTTGATGATTATGTTCAGTATTAAGCAATGTTATTGTAACAATTGGTGATTTATAAGATCATGTCATATTAATTTGCCATATGTATCCTTGTTTTTTGCTTCTCTTGTTTTTTTTGTTTGCCTAATGTTGACCTTAAGAGCTGTTTATTATATCTTCCACCCTATCACATTTTAAACTCTTTTTCTACAAGTTTCATTAGAAAATATCTCACATTTGTGTTTATAAATTGCAAAATAATTCTGAAAAGCATATTGTTTTACATAATGAACTACAACTGGCATAGAGATAAATTGAGTTCCTATCTCAATCTCAATTGGAAAAGTAATTAAAGACAAGTTACCACTATAGTTCTTGAACTTAGAACCTAGTATGTTTCTAATAAATGGTGTGTTATTAATGCTAGTTAATTCTTTATCATTTTCTTCCGATTTTGTACATGTGTTTACCAAAGTGCTACTAATAGAAAACTTACTAGCCATAGCATTAGAAGAAATAATCATGATTTCTAAATAAATATAATTTTCTAGTGATATAGTTAATGTAATTGGACTTATTCTAAAAAAAAAAAGTTAAAAAGTAAATCTTAAGATACAGATTTAGTTGTGACTTTGCAAGCATTAGGATGTGCTTTATTAAAATATAATGCCTATGCCCATGCTTGGCATTATGTTTTAACAGAACACATGCAAGTACTTGCAGAGTTAAAATATATAGTATCTATTTAAGAGCATGTGACATTTAACAACTTACAGAATAATGGCAATAAATAAAATATTGATAAAATTTTCAGTGTTCAAGGTATAATACAGAATGCTTGAGAAACAATGATAATGGAATCAAAATCAGCTAAAACTAAATATAAAATACCAATTTTAAGAACATATAATATAATAATTTACAAATTAATAATAGTAAATAAGATATTGATGGATTTTTTAGCATTTAGAAGTATGATCCAGATATGATTGATGAATGATAATAATGGAATTAGAATTAGCATCCTTTCAAAAAAAAATAATGTCAATATTAAATAATGACTTTAAGAATATATAAGATGATTTTAACTATGAATACTAGAATAAGTATTGGTAAGAATTTTTGATATGCAAAAGTATAATAACAAAGATGAAATCAGTTCTGATTTTTAAAATAAATATATTGAAATATTCGTCTTAGAAATACACAAGTTATGATATAGTATAATTTTCCATTGCACTCACTTTCTCAATTTGTTTGTGTCTCTATTGATTCTGAATTATCTGAATTTCTTTTTCTTAGATTGCACTATTTATTTTTTAGTCTATATGATAAATTAAATTAACTTCATTTGTACAAAAAAAAAACAGATCGATCAATGCTTCTATGCATGATCAATTAAAACAAGTATCCAAGTTTACTATTTTGGTTATGTTATATCCACTGCTCAAATATACTAGTCTAATTAAAATTGTTGCATACTAGTTTGCCTGAACAGGCTTTTGTTATAACTTTACAACTTTATTTTTTTTTGAATACAAAACCTGTTCACTTTATTTAATTCTTCTTTTAATTATTACATCATTTATACATCATTTATACATCATTTATATATAATTACTTTTATTTACTATTATATACTATCATATACTGTTTATGATTATTTACAATTATTTACTATTATGTTACATAAATTAATATTTGCTGAGTTTAATTAACTTTGATTATATAGCATACTCATATATTCATTATTATAGAGTGAATAAATCACTCAGGTGCTAAATAAATTTATACAAAAAATCTTATTATTAAATGTCTAATAACAATATTCATAATTAATTTTGCATCTAATTGATTAAATTAAATTTATTTATTTTTATTTTTTTTTAAATATTAAAGGTGAGACCATGCTTTAACTTTATTGAAATTCAATTTAAGTTTTTTCAAAAAAAAGCTTGCTTTTAATTTATAGATAAAGAATAAAGATTCAAACATATAATCTGTAACCTAAACCTATAAAAGTAACCAAAGCTTATCTAGATTTAGATGTTAGTAATAATATAGAAAAGAGGAATATAATATTTAAAATTTTTTTTTTTTAAATATTAAGATGAGTACTTGCGACCCAGGAATTTATTGATAGTACATTCAGCTAATAGGCTGCATTACAACCACAGGAGACAACTATGAAAAGAGTGTACAACTAGCCACTCATACAACTTTAATCATTGTCTAATTTAAGTAGTCCGCCCGAAGGTTCTACACTAGCTGTCATACCTGGAACCTGCTTGTAGGTTCCCTATTTAACCACTCTGTTCCCATATCCACCCACCTACCTACACCTACCAA